AATTTATGAGGAGACCAATTATATTTAGATAGGTAGTTTTAAATTTAGTCTCTGAGCTCTGGGCAGAGCCCACACTGAATCCTGGATCTCCAAAAGGAGAAAGATCTCATGAGACTACGCCATGTCATGCTTTTGCAGTGCACTTTGTTACCAAGACATTTCTCTAAGTGTTTAAACCACTCCCTTTCTTATCTTAAACATAGAAGAGTAGCCCCTGTAGTAATAACTATTTTAGTTAAAAAAAAAATCAGGTAATGCAATACAAGAACAATCCGTTTAAGATCTGAGAGGAACTTGTCTGTTGACACTCTCGGGGTTCCATAAGGAAAAACAGAGGTTTATCTCCAGAAGGAGGCTGGCGCCTTCTCTGTTTTCTTTAAGGAATCCCAGGCTGTTAGAAATTATTGTAGGTCCCTCATGCAGCAGAGTGTGGCAAGAGGAAGGAGAGACGGGCAGGAGTAAATGGAGAAAACAGAATTCAGTCGACTGGGAAGAAAAAAATTTTTTTCTCAAAAAATAAGAACTTAGGAGAGAAAAAAGAAAGCATAAAGGCATACACACACATAAATACACACATACACACATACACATACTACACACAAATACATGAACACATACATACATACATACACACTGTGGATGAAGAGAGTCAAACTCTGTGAAATATTTGAGGAGATTTATTCTGAGCCACATGTGAGTGACCATGGCCTGTGACACAGCCCTCAGGAGACCCTGAGAACATGTGCTCAAGGCGGTCAAAGCACAGCTTGGTTTATACATTTTAGGGAGACATGAGAGATCAGTCAAATGCACTGAAGACATGCATTGGTCCAGTCCAAAGAGACAGGACAACTTGATGTGGGGGGTGCTTCCAGGTTATGGGTGGATCTTAAAACTTTCTGATTGGCAATTGGTTGAAAGAGTTATTATCAATAGGGGAAATGTCTGAGTTACAATAAGAGGTTGTGAAGACCAAAGTTTTCTCATGCAGATGAAGCCTCTGGGTAGCAGGCTTCAGAGAGAATGGATTGTAAAGGTTTCTTATCAGACTTAAGATCTGTGTTGATATTAGTGCTAGAGGCTATAATGCGACATGTCCAACCCCCACTTCCTGCCAGGTTACATTTTATTTTTTTGAGACAGAGTCTTGCTCTGTTGTCCAGGCTGGAGTACAGTGGTATGATCTTGGCTCACGCAACTTCCTCTTCCTGGGTTCAAGTGATTCTCCTGCCTCAGCCTCCCGAGTAGCTGGGACTACAGGCATGTACCACCATGCCAGGCTAATTTTTGTATTTTTAGTAGAGATGAGGTTTCACCATGATGGCTAGGCTGGTCTCGAACTCCTGACCTCAAGGGATCCACCTGCCTTGGCTTCTGAAAGTGCTGGGATTACAGGTGTCATTAAGTGCCTGGCCTGCACTTTACCATCTAAGAAGCAGGAAAAAAACTTCAGACTCGCCTTCCCTGTTGGAAGTGAGTTGAAACTCCAGAAAGGAGTTACCTGCTCTCTATCGTCATGGAAGCAGGAAAACTTACCTTCCTTGTTGGAAGCAAGTAAAACTCCAGAAAAGGAGTTGTTCAGCAAAATAAAACTTAGCTTTCAAATTTTAGCTCTCTTAGATCTCAAATTTTCAGAGATCAGGGATTCTCTGCAGCAGGGAGCTCCCAGCCCTCACCAAATTGTCCTACAGGTTTGAGCAATAAAGACAGATACTAGGCTGTTATCAAGCACCAACAGGAGATTTGTCAAAGACCAGGGCCACCTCCATGGAATCCCTTCATGGTTGCCAATTTGTAAACTAAAAAATATCTAAGCTAGGTCTCAATTTAGATGTTTATTTTCGCAATGTTAAGGACAATGCCATGGAGAAGAAAAACCACAGAATCACAGAAACAGCGTGGTCTGTGCCTTTCTTCAAAGATGACTTTCAGGGTTTCAGTATTTAAAGGGAGAAAAGTGGGCTGGAGGGGAAAGAGGAAGGGTGTGATTATCCACATGTTCCAAGAGAAAAGGAGCAGATGGGGCAATAGGCAACAATGCATTAATCCTGTGCTCAGCAAATGGGCACTTTATGTAAGATAAGGTGAGTAGCTGCCGATGGAGATATTAAACCTTTTATCTGTAGCTCTCTGCTTAGGAGCAAAAGGAAAGGCAGTTTCTTGCATGACTCAGTTTCAGCTTAATTTGTTCCTTTTGGCATAGTGAACCGGGGTTCTGACATTTTATTTTCCTTTTGTATACCTCATTGTGGTTTTGACTGAGCATCTTTGCATGTGCTTATCGGTACCCTCACCCCCTTTTTCTTGAGATGGAGTCTTGCTCTGTTGCCCAGGCTGGAGGGCAGTGGTGCAATCTTGGATCACTGTAGCCTCCACCTCCGAGGTTCAAGCGATTCTCCTGCCTTAGCCTCCTGAGTAGCTGAGATTAGAGGCGCCCACCACCACACCAGGCTAATTTTTATATTTTTGGTAGAAGACAGGGTTTCACCATGTTGGTCAGGCTGGTCTCAAACTCCTGACCTCAGGTGATTCACCCACCTCAGTCTCCCAAACTGCTGGGATTATAGGCATCAGCCACCATGCCAAGCCTGGCCCCTCTGTCCCCAGCTTTTTTTTTTTTTTTTTTAAAGAGAGAGGGTGTTGCTCTGTTGCTCAGACTGGAATGCAGTGGTATGATCATGGCTCACTGCAGCCTCCAAGTCCTGGGCTCAAGCAATCCTCCCACCTCAGCCTTCCATGTAGCTAGGACTATAAGTGGGTGCCACCATACCCAGCTAATGAAAAAAAAATTTTTTTGTAGAGACAGGATCTCACTATGTTGGTTTTGAATTCTTGGTGTCAAGCAATCCTCCTGCCTCAGCCTCCCAAAATGTTGGGACTACAGGCATGAGCCACCATGTCTGGCCTTATTGGCCATTTGTATATATTCTTTGGAGAACTGCCTATTCAAATTCCTTGTGCATTTTAAAACTAGGTTATTTGTCTTCCCGTTGTTGGGCTGTATCTCTTTTTTTTTTTTCTTCATTACAATTCTCACTCTCTGACATGATCTTGCTTTTTCAATTTTTTGTCTGTCTTCCCTTATTAGTAGCTAAGCCCCATGAGGTCAGGGATCTTGTCTGCCCTCTTTCCTGCTATATCTCTGATACCCAGAACAGTTCCTGCTTTGTAATTAATGTTTGGTGAGTCAGTGAATGACTCTGTAGTGAGAAGAAGAGATATGATGACTCACTCATGCATTCATTCATTCATTCATTCATTCACTTAGCAGAGGTGTATCTGGGAGCTTTCTGCATCCCTGCAGCTCTGACAGAGATCCTAACCTGGGTCTGGGGACCTCTAAAAGGCCCACTGTAATCACTAGCCCTAGAATATTGTGAGGCTTAGCTCATGACCCTGACTGCCGCTCTCATTAGCTGACAGCCCCTCTCACAGAGGGTGGCAGATGAGTATGAGATGAGGCTTGGCTCAGGGCAAAGCCGGGTAGAAGCATGCTGAAAGTTTGCACGCATTTGTTGTTCATTGCTGCATAACAAGGTATCATGCATGAAGCAGCCTCAAACAGCCCCTACTTACTAGCTCTCAGTTCGGTGGGTCAGAAGACCAGCACTGGGTGACAGGGTTCTTTGGTTAGAAACTTACAAGGCTGAGGCTGGGTACGGTGGCTCAAGCCTGTAATCCTGGCACTTTGGGAGGCCAAGGCAGGTGGATCACTTGAGCCCAGGAGTTCAAGATCAGCCTGGCCAACATGGAGAAAACCCATCTCTACTAAATATACAAAAAAGAAAAATTAGCTGGGCATGGTGGTGCATGCCTAAATTCCCAGGTACTTAGGAGGCTGAGGCAGGAGAATCACTTGAACCTAGAAGGTGGAGGTTGCAGTGAGCTGAGATGACCCCACACACTCTAGCTTGGGCAACAAAGCGAGACTGTCAAAAAATAAATAAATAAAAGGAAAGAAAAGAAGGAAAGAGAGAAAGAAAGAAACTTACAAGGGTGAAATCAAGGTGTTTTCCAGGCTGTCTTCCTGCCAGAAAGTTTTCAGGAGGAATCTGGCTGAATGCATTTGCCTGCAGTTGCAGGACTGAGGTCCTGAGGTCCCCACCTCCTTGCCTATCAGCCAGGGTCCCCTCATAGCTCTAGAGGCTGCCTGGATTCCTCGCCACAATGCCCTTCCATCTTCAAAGCCAGTAGAGAGAGAGATTCTCCCACATTTCCAGTCCCTCTCATACTTTGAATCTCTTTTGCCAGGAAGAGCTTGTCTCTCTTAGGCCCTGCCCCCTGCCACCTGTTAGGTCAGACCCACTAAGAATACTTTTTTCTTAAAGTGAACTGGACCATCTATCCCCTACTCAGTGGAGGGGATTATACAAGGGTGTGGTTCACTGTGGGTTTTGCCTACCTCAGTGAGCTGGAAATATTGTTCTTATGTTCTCAAAGGAGTTCCTCTGCTTTCACAGATGACCCTGACCTTGATGATCACATACATACCCGGTTCACCCCCTGTGCTGACCTAGCTTGTGCTCTGGGGACATCTCCACAGGATATGGCCTGGCCTCTTGCCACTTGAGGGACCTCAGCTTCTGAGCCTAGAGGGTGGTCGGGGGCGGTGATGAAGCCAGTGCCTTCACTGCCTTCTGCCACCCAACTGTGCCCTCCAGTCTCATCCTTTCTCTGTGGGCAAAACAGGGAGTGTGGGGTGACCCAAACCCTGGTCCAGGTTGGTCAGGTTGGCTCACACAGACAACTCTGTCCTTACACCTGCAGAGAGACGACCACCTCAACCAGGGCCCATGCCATGTACCAGACATGACCTGGCCCCCCAGCCTCTGCTCCCACCCACCACAGTCCATTTTGTGCACCACAGCCAAAAAGATCCTGTAAAATACTGAGCCAAATGATGTCCCCAGCTGCTCCATTCAAAATCACACCCTACAACCTACACTCTTTATCCCCTTCCTTGTCTTACCAAATGGTGACAAGTGTCATGGCTTCTGCAGGCGACCTGGCGAACCTCCCCTGGACCTGGGCAGCATCCCCTGGTTGGGCTATGCCTTGGACTTTGGAAAAGATGCTGCCAGCTTCCTCACAAGGATGAAGGAGAAGCATGGTGACATCTTTACTGTAAGTGCCTCTTATGCCTCGGGGGGGCTGGAGATGAGCGGCAGGGCCCTCGTATCCGGTTTCTGCTGATTCCTTCAACATCTGTCCCTATGCTAAACCCCCCATCCATCATACATCCTAGTGGTCGAGCCAATTTTCTCTCCAGCTGCCTGTCCAGCTGTACACCCAACACTGACCTAACATCATCCCTTCAGTCTCCCTCTCGCTCTTCCCAGCGTGGAGTTATGCAGTCACTCAGTATCTATCCAGTACTTGTATATCCATGCAGCTGACCTTCATCCATCCATTCTATTTCCATCCATTCAACATCCATCTTCTCATTCCATTCTTCTGCCTGTCCACCTAGTGTCTACCCAGCATCCTTCCATCCTTATATCCAACCAGAATTTATTTGTCACCCTCCATCTATCCACCCATCAGTCTTTCTATAGATTCACCTGACATCTGTCAATTCATTTATCCATCTTCTATCCCTTCATCTGTCCACCCAGATCTACCTAGCGTTCTTCCACTCATGGATCCAACATCCATCCAACTTTCATCCGTATATAGCTGGCCCTCTTTGTCCATGGGTTCCACACCTCTGGATTCAGCCAGCCATGAATTGAAAATATTTGGGAAAAATGCATTGGTATTAAACTTTTAGAGACTTTTTTCTTGTAATTCTTTCCTAAAAATATAACAACTATTTATATAGCATTTACATTGTGTTAGGTAGTATAAGTAATCTAGAGATGACTTAAAATATAAGGAAGGATGCATGTAAGTTATATGGGACTCAAGCATCCATAGATTTTGGTATCTGCAGGAAGTCCTGGAACCAATCCTCCATGGATACTGAGGGATAACTAGTCAGTTTCCACTAATTTTCACTTTTCTATTTATCTACGCATGTTTCTATTCATCTGCCACTACCCAACAAATACTCAGCTATATTCAGTATTCCATGTCTCTCCACTGGAAATACATCTATTTATATCTCATCCATCCATCCTTACATCTATTCAAATGACCACTACCCACTCACCCTCCTTCCCTGTATCCTTCCAACTTCCATCTAATCAACATTCATCCTTCACTTTACCCAATATCTACCTAGCATTCTCTCATTCATGTACCCAACATTTATTCGTTTTGGTTTCCAATGAACCTCCAGCTGCCCTTCCATCCATCTTTCCATCCAATTTAGATTCATTGATTTATCCTTCCATTTATCCACCTATCTGACATTCTATCCACAAGTAAATACTCAGCAGTTTCCTTCCTTCCTCCCCTCCCTCTCTCCCTCCCTTCCTCCCTCCCTCCCTCCTTCCTTCCTTCCTTTCATTCATTTACCCATCCACCTATCCATCCATCTTCCCATTTACTCTTCTACAATCCACCTACTGGAATTTACCCAACAGCATCCTTCCATCCATCCATCCATCCATTCTTTCATCCATCCATCTATTCATCCTTCCTTCCTTTCTTCCTTCCATCCATCCACCCACTTATCCATCCATCCTTCCTTCCATCTGTCCATTCTTTCATCTGTTCATCCATCCATGATGTGCACAGGATCCATCTGCTGCCTTCTCTCCTGGCTGCTGGAGATATGGCAATAACCAAGATGGTCATGGCAGGTGCTTAAGAGTGAGGTGGTGAATAACACAGACTTTGATTTTAAAAAGTGCCATATTACCAAATTCCAGTCCCAACCCTGTCGCTTCTCAGTTATGAGATCTTGGACACTTTTCATCTCTTTTCTAAGACTCATTTTTTTCAACAATAAATAGATGAGTGATGGTCCCTACCTCACAGGGTGGTGAGGAGGTGTAGATAAGAGAACATAGTCTGTTACTGCCAAGTGGGGCAGTGCCTGGCACGTGGTAAGCCCCTGACCATTGAGAGCAGCTGCTGTTCACAGGGACACTCCCCATTCTATCCCTGCCAACTTCCCACAGATACTGGTTGGGGGCAGGTATGTCACCGTCCTCCTGGACCCACATTCCTACGATGCGGTGGTGTGGGAGCCTCGCACCAGGTTTGACTTCCATGCCTATGCCGTCTTCCTCATGGAGAGGATTTTCGATGTGCAGCTTCCACATTACAGCCCCAGTGATGAAAAGGCCAGGATGAAACCGTGAGTGGCTGGAGATGGCATCTGGGGGTGGGCCAGGGTGGGCCACCCACTGCTACCCATGTGGCCCAAGTCATGCCCGGCTGCAGAGCAAGTGTCCAGTAAATACATTTTGTCTTGAGAACACAAACAGCTCTGGGACCCTGAGGCTGGGGGAGGGAAATGCCTGCAGGTGCATATTTCCCTTTGGAAGCTGAATGTTCATGTCTTTGTTTCCTGTGTCAGGACTCTCCTCCACAGAGAGCTGCAGGCACTCACAGAAGCCATGTATGCCAACCTCTGCACAGTACTATTGGATGATGCTACGGAGGCGGGCAGTGGCTGGCACGAGATGGGTCTCTTCGACTTCTCCTACAGCTTCCTGCTCAGGTGAGGCTGTGCAGCCCCCACCCTCCTTCTGGGGCCCTGCACTTTGACCTGTGTCAGCCGTGAGCAGTGGCCAAGGGAACCGTGAGGTCTCTGTGGGTGGGGGAAGCGATTTGAGATGCCCAAAGCAAAGACTGCAGGAAAAGACCCCGGGCACCAGGGCCCCAGGTGTTCACCCGACCTAGCTCATGAACTTTCAAAGGAGACCCTGGCTGGAGATGAGACCTTCCAGGTCATTCAGAAAGGAAGTTGCAGAGCAAGACTCCAGAGGCTGTTATAAGTAACATTTTCGGTGCCACAAAAGAAGTAGCACTCAAATATAAATTTTCTCAGCAAGGCAATTTACCGCTATGGAAGGGTGCAGCTCACAGATGGAACAATGGCGAGCACACACCTGGACAAGGGAGGGGAAGGGATACTTATGCCTGACAGTGGTCCCCTGCTGCTGTCATTCCCTTATTGGCTAGGGTTAGACCGCACAGTCTAGTCTAATTCTGATTGGCTATTTTAAAGGGAGCAGGAGTATGAGCCAGAGTGGTGGGGTGGGTAGTTTGATGGGAAGGACGGTTACGGGCAGGTCAGAGCAGGTAGCCAGGGGTCAAAGCTGGTGACTGGAGCAGGTAACCAGGATGAGTCAGGACTGAGCAAGGGACCGGGGGAACAGATGCGAACTACTGATTAGAACTGGTGGAAAAGTTGTTACCGAAACTACAAGGAAGTTAAACTTTAAAATGGGGAATTAAAGAATAAGCAAGCTGAACATACTGATATATTGATTCTTTGAAGAGAAACTTGGGGTTCACTATATCTAACAAGGCCATCTTGTCCTGTGGCTTCCAGACTTTGGAATTTCACAGAACAGAAAAACAAAAAATGTTTGGGAGACCAACTTGGGACCTAACCTTTTATCCGATCTTATAAATGTGTGTTAAAACCTGCACAACCGAATGTTCCTTCCTTCAGCTGTGCCGGGCACTATTCCAGGCTCTGGGAAAAAACAGGGAACAGGACAGATGAAGTCCCCAAATTCACGTGCTGACACTCCAGTGGAGGAGGCTGAATCAGGTTATGTCAGAGAGTGATAAACCCGATGACAGAGATTCATGGTGGGGTGACAGCATCTGGGGGGCTTTCTTCCGAAGACTGACAAGGCAGGGTCACACTCTGGGGGTCTGGCTTCAGAGCCAAGACCTACCTGCAAAGTGCCCACCACCCAAGACTCTAGGCAGGGGAAACAGCAGGTGCAAAGGCCCAGAGGTGGGAGGAAGCTCGGCGAGAGGGCCACTGTGGCTGCAGCATAAAGAGCCAAGGAGGGATGGCGGAGAGGCCAGAGATGGGGGCAGAAGCAGAACTCAGGGAGCCGGAGGCCAGGGAAGGCTTTGGAAATTGTGCTGAGGAAGATCAGGTGACATCAGGGGTTTGCACAGGGGAAGGACATGATCTGACTTAGTTTTAAAGCCCCCTCTGGCTGCTGGATGGGGGGTGGACTGTAGGGATGGGGAGGGATGGAGAGGGAGGCAAGAGGACCCAGCAGGAGGCTGCCAGGTGTCATCAAGCATGGTGGCAGCCCAGCGAGGTGATGAGAATTTGGGTAGCTTTTGGAGATGGAGTTCACTGGCTCTGCTGGGAGATTTGACTGGGGCGGCGGTGGGGATGGGGGATCGTGGGTGGGGGTGGGGGCGATAGAGTGGTGTTAGGAACGGCTCCCTGATTTTTAGTGGTGCCGTTAACCAACAAGCATTTAATTAAAAAAAAAAAAAGACATTTCAACCCGTCCAAGAAATTAGAACCACATAGTTCTAGGATAACGGGCAGCCATTTGCTGACACATACAGGCACGTGGGTACAATTATGACGTTATGACGTGTGTGTGCATACAACGTGTGTAGACTCAGTCTCAGCTCATTGAATGCTCACAATCACTCTAGGAGGCTGGCACTTTGCATGCTCCATTGGACAGATGAGAAAACTGAGACCTGGAGAGCCCGAGTCGTTTGCCCAGAGGCCTGTGTTGGGGTCAGGGCAGGGCTGGCCCCCAGAGCCTGCACTCTCAGCCACAGCCCTCTGCACGGGGATAGTCCCCATTCTTTTTGTTTTGCCCTGAGGTGATGCAAACAGTGTCAAGGGCTGTAACTGGCTGGTCCACCAATTACAATTACAATTACTGTGGGTGATGCTGGTCTGGTCCACCCTGTCATTGTATGAGGGGACTGAGGTCCAGAGAATGGCAGCCGAAATGGCCCAGCAAGTTCACAGTAGGGGTTCTCCCAGGTCTCCTGGCTCCTGAGTCCCTGTGCAGACAAAGAAGCCAGCGAGAAAGCTGAAGCACTGGGAGAGGCAGGCTTGGGGGACAGCTGGGTCTGGCTAGGCTCTGTGGTACGGCAGGCATGGGGGAATCAGCTCAGGGGGAATCAGATGTAAATCCATACCTGTAAATCAGTAACTGTGTCTTTAGGGCCTGAGGCCTGGGCTGGAGCGCCTGCCACCTGGCTTGGCAGCTGAGGGCCTTTTCACTGCCATCTGCAGCCCCTGAAATAGAAAGGAAATGGGCGAGCTGGATGGCAGGGACACAGATGTGAAGGAGCTGCAGATTCAGGCAGCGCAAACCGGGAGGTGCCGCCTCCTACACCTGCCAGCCTGGCCTGTTGGCCCTGGCCTCACCGAGTCACACCCAAAGCTCTCCTCTGTCCTCACCCTGTAGCCCTGGCCTCCCCTCCTCCCACCCGCCTCCCTGCTGTGCCTTGAACAGGCCAGGCACACTCTCTCTTTGTGGCCTTTGTTGTTTCTGTTCCTTCGCCTGGGAATGCTGTTCCCCACACGTCTGCGTGGCTCCCACCCAACTTCGTTCAAGCCTCATCGCGAGCGCCACCTGCTCAGAGAGGTCTTTCTTGAGTTCCGGTTTCATGATGGCCCTCTCCCCTGACGCAGCTGGGTTGAGCTTTACTTTTCTTTGTGGCTCTAGCGCCGCCTGTGGGTGGTGTGTGTATTTACACATGGGATGATCTAGTCTTCAACCAGGCTGTTTTGATACGGGGCTGCTGGAGGAGGGGCCTTCACTTCCACAGTGCAAAACCTTGTGGTCCCCTGAGTTTACTTTTTTTTTTTTTATAAAGACATAGTTTTGCTCTTTTGCCCAGGCTGGTGCGATGGCCTCTCTGGCCCACACCCTCCCTCATTCCTGCTTCCACTTTCTCCTCATCCTCATCTGGGGAAACCCCTCTCCTGGGAGATCCTGTTCCCTTGTCTGCACAGGGACCCAGGAGCTCAAGGGGAGGGTGAGAGGGTGAGGCCCCGGGGCTTTGGTTTCGTCTCTCTGCTGAGTCCCCAGGCCTACCCACCTCGTGGACAGAATGAATACCTCCAGTTTCTCTCCCAGGACTGAGGTCGGCTGGCTGGGCAGGGGCTGAACTCCTGGGGTATTTAAAGGGGGCTGGAGGTGAAGGCACGTCCTCTGAGTGTGGTCGTGTTTGTGTGTGTGTGTGTGTGTGTGTGTGTGTGTGTGTGTGCGTGCCTCAGTGAGAGCACATGCTAGCTCCCATGTCTTACCCTTTTTCACACTGGACCAGGCCCTGTCCTCCTTCTCCAGCCTCCCAGAGCCCCTCAGGTCAAGTACAACCTTCCCGCTGTTGCAAATGCCCCGCCCTGTGTGGCAGCCCTGACAGCCCCAGGCCCTCCCACCCTCTGCCTCATACCCCAGCCCCAGTCCTGTACCGGCCACACCTGGCACCTCTCCCATCATGCACGGCTGCACCCTCAGCTCTGGGCCTTTGCACAGGCTGTGCCTGTTGCCCGAACACGTTCCTCTTCTGCTTCCCCCATCATCCTGCAGGTCTCAGCTCAAAACCTGCCTCCTCTAGGAAGTCTGCCCTGAATCCCTCCCTGGGAGCAGGCGTCTCCTCCCCTTCTCTGTGCCCCGTCTCAGCATAGTCCCCTCGAGCTCTCTGCTGCAGCCTCATCAGCCTCCTTGCTGCTCCCAGGACCCGGCTTCCTCCTGCTTAAGGACGTGGCACCTGGGGCTTGCCCTGCTTCCGACCCCTCCCTCTGCTCTGCCCATGCTGGCTCCTTCTCAGCCTTCAGCTGTCAGCTTAATGCCAGCCCCTCCCTCACCTGGCACCTGACACCAAGACCCTGCCCTCCCATCCTGCTACCCAGCTTTGTGTCTGACAGTGCCACAGGGCACCAGCTGACAAGTTACCCACTTTACTCGTCCTTTTGTCTGTTGTCCATCTCCCTGTGCTGAGGGGTTAGCTCCTTGAGGACAGGGACTTTTCCTTTTTTCACTGCCGACTGTTCAGTGCCCAGAACAGTCCCTAGCGCACAGTAGGATTAGTAGGTGCTCACTGGGTGTACGAATGAAGCTTCTAAGAACCTCTGACCCTCTGTCTACCACCCCAGAGCCGGCTACCTGACTCTTTACGGAATTGAGGCGCTGCCACGCACCCATCAGAGCCAGGCTGAGGACTGCATCCACTCAGCTGATGTCTTCCACACCTTCCGCCAGCTCGACCGGCTGCTCCCCAAACTGGCCCGTGGCTCCCTGTCAGTGGGTGAGCACCATGGGGGCCCCAGTGAGTGGTGGGGAGGATGGAAAGACCTAGAGGGGGAGACCACAGGCAGAAGAACATCCAACACCCTGTGAGGCAGTAAGATCCCCGTCACTGGGGGTATGCAGGAGCACAATGGCAGGGAACCAGGGCTTGGACCACAGCTTGGGTTCCTGGTGGAAATTCCAATTAGCACATTTGGCATGGGGCCTGAGAATCTCTGGGTGTATGTGTTCCTTTTTTTGTTTTAAGGTTTGAGTTGCTTTAAAGGTTTTTACAAGTAGTTCATGCTCATTATAAAAAATTCAAGCTATATAGAATAATTATAGAATAATTTAGAAGGAAGAATAAAAGAGCTCTCCACTTTCTCCCCAGCATCAGCCCACCGCTTCCCTCTACAGAGGCAACCACCATCACTAGCTTGGAGTACATCCTGGGAGCACTTTCTCTAAACAGACACACAGTTGTGTGTTATTTTTATTGTTTTCAATTTTTCAGGCTTTTAACTTCTTTTTTTTTTCTAAGATATAATTTATATACAGGAAAGCACACACATCTAAATGCACTGAGAGGCCAGGCGCGGTGGCTCACGCCTGTAATCTCACCACTTTGAGAGGCCGAGGTGGGTGGATCACTGGAGGTCAGAAGTTTGAGACCAATTTGATCAACATGATGAAACCCCGTCTCTACTAAAAATACAAAAATTAGCCAAGCATGGTGGCAGGCACCTGCAGTCCCAGCTACTCAGGAGGCTGAGGCAGAAGAATTGCTTGAACCCGAGAGGTTGAGGTTGCAATGAGCCAAGATCACGCCACTGCACTCCAGCCTGGGTAACAGAGCCAGATTCCATCATAAATAAATAAATAAATAAATGCACTGAGAGGTAGATCTAAACATTTTATGCTCTTTCCTAGCCATTATTCACTCCGCCTCCAGGTAGGCACTGTACCGGTTTCTTTTACCTCCAATTAGTTTTGACAATTCTTCAGCTTCCTAGAAATGAAATCACACAGTATACGGCCTTTTATGTCCGGCTTCTTTCACTCAACTTAATGTTGGGAGATTTGTCCAGGTTGCTGTATGGCTCAATAGTTCAGTTTTAATTTTTTTTATTTTTTGTCTTAAAAACAATTTTTTTTTTTTTTTTGAGATGGGGCCTTGCTGTGTTACCTATACTGGTCTTGAACTTCTGAGCTCAAGCAGTCCTCCTGCCTTGGCCTCCCAAAGTGCTGAGACTACAGGAGTGAACCACCATGCTTTTTTTTTATTTTTTATTTTTCTCTGAACCAAGGTCTCACTCTGTCACCCAGGCTGGAGTTCAGTGGTGCAGCCTCAATCTCCTGGGCTCAGGTGATCATCCCACCTCAGCTTCTTGAGTAGCTGGGACTACAGGCATGTGCCACTATGCCTGGCTAATTTTTAAATTTTTGTAGAGATCGGGTCTCACTGTTCCCCAGATGGTCTCCAACTCCTGAGCTGAAGCAATCCTCCCACCTTGGCCTCCCAAAGTGTTGGGATTACAGACGTGAGCCACTGTGCCTGGCCAACAGCTTCCTCTTTTTATTGCTGTATAGTATTTCACCAGAGTAATACACCACGATTTGTTTATCCATTTGAGTAGTCCCCGGTTTGGAGCTGTTAGGAAGAGTTTGTTGTGAATATTCTTGTATGTGTCTTTCAGTGTACATGTGACCTCATTTCTCTTAGCTGATGGCCTGTGCTTTTTTTTTTTTTTTTTTTTTTTTTTTTTTTTTTTTTTTTT